GCCTATTTAAAGAGCAAACGGTAAAATTCTGCTCAGAAATGGAAAAGAGACCAATAAATGCGATACCTTCTTTCATTAGAGACGTACCACCGTAAAGTACTGATAAAACAATTCCATTCAAGAAGAAGTTAGTAGCTCCTGTAGAACGTACACGAAAATGAAAGAAATTCCAAAAATGGCATCCGAAAACTATGAAACCTTGAAATAATCCTATGCCTAGTCCTAACAACTCCTGCATCGAGGCAGCTTTTTGGACTTCTCTTTCGTATAGACTGAAAATACCTACGTTACACTATGAAACCATATGCTCTTCAACAAAAAAATCGAAAAAGCGACCTTGATTCCTGTCTTTCCATGGCGAAGGATCGAACTGTTCGGATATTTCCAAATGCTTCATCAGCGACAGCAGCGGCTACTGCAGCCTGTGCTTGAGCTCTGGAACGACAATAAAGGGCGTGAATTCGAATACGAAACTAACAGAAGCATAAAAATAAATTGAAATTCTTATCAAAAGGAAATCAGATCTCGGAAATAAACCTTCTGCTAAGGCTTCTCAGCAATGCTCCAAACAAGGCACCAATTCCAATAACGACAGGAACAGCAGATACAGTGTAAAATGTCATAACTGGAGAAATAAGAATAAGTGAAGCCACACACCCGGATACCTGAAATTCTGGACATTTGATAACACAAAGGCTGTCTAAGCGTTTCAGCTTTCTTAACAGGTAGAAGATACACCACACCTGAGTAAACGTTCGTAGACCTTGAGCAACAGCAAGCTTGAAACAGCTCTTAAACTCCTGTACATCACTATTTAATCGGATTGACATCTCAGAGGTCTTCTGTACAAGAAACTAATGAATAAACAAGGAAAAAGATTGTTGTGGAGTGTAATAAAGACTTTTACCTGACAGTCATAGAAACTCATGTCCATAACAAGTAGGCGATTGAATAATTGTATACGTAGGGCAGAAGCCATACGCTCTCCGATAATGCTTAGGAATGTTATGTAACAGAACGTAAGTAATGCTTGAGCAGTATAACATATGAGGAGCCTGATAGCTTCGGGTTTAATGACATACAAACCTGTCGCAGTTCCCGTAGCTTGATCTGAACAATGACGAGTAAGTGTATGGAACGAAGATAGGCCTTTATTTTCTACCAAAAAAAGTTGGTTGGTGAAATTGCAGTGCAAATGCTGAGGCAAAGAAAGGATGGCAAGCCTGTTGCTCTTGAAACTGGTGCAACTTCTCGGCAGAACAAAAATTCAAGGCGCAATTCAACAATAGGCCTTACGATGCAGTTTCACTTTTGAGTAGTGCAACAAAAACATAAACGATTAAGTTCCTCAGTTTCGAAAAATAAAAAAGTTATACTAGGAATAACAAAATAAAATCAAACAACCTTTCAAAATCTGGACCACCCTGTCAATCAACGCTCCAAGGTATATAGGCAACTGAATATTAACCAAGGCAGCAAGAATAGCACTCTGAAATGACATACTACACAGAAATCCGGATATGTTGGACCAGTTGAATAGATAAACTTTAACGGCTGAAAAGCAGCCGAGAAACTACTGAAAGCGGTCAATAATGGAATTAAGGATTCTGCCTAAAACAGGAGCACATTAAGAACTTCACGACAGTGTTTTTCCAACACATATAACAGAAAGAATTGAGTTAAACGATTCCTCAAAGGGAAGTTGAGGCAAGGAAGAAGAAAGGACCGTCGAAAGTAAGTTGGAATTTATGACAGATAAACTGCTGCTTAAAGACAGGTCTTCAAGTAGTCTATTAGGTAATCAATGACTCACAATAACAGCAGCCAGAAACCAGCCAAAATTCGGTTTCAAAATAGACCAAAGATCAGAAAGTGAAAGAGAAGGTTCTCTACTTCGTAAGAACTCCTTACTCAGATGATCGGCTCTTTTACTGAGATGAGTATCACTTCTGCATTGTCCATACCTGAGAATAAGATTCATTTGAAAAGTAGAGTACAGAGTACTTTACTACTCCTAGGCCTACCTCAGAAGCGGGACAAAGCATGTGCTGAGACATAGACCTCCAAGGCGACCAACTTTAAAGAAGGACGGAACATTAGGTGACTGCTTATTCCATGCGATAAGAAGGTTTTTCACGTATGGAGACCTTAGTTAAGAACCCTACTAATGGATTATCCAGATTATGCAAATAATGTATATAAAGGTGCCAACCTTAAGGCGGAAGCTATGGAAAGCTTCTGAAATACAGCCGATCCGCCGAGGACAGCCAGCTTCGCCAACATCATAGCTGGCTCAATTAGGCTTGCTTACCTAAAAAATGACGTCCAAGTCAGTTAGGTTAGCATAGCACCTGCATATGCATAGATAGCGATTCGAACACAACTGTCAACTATTTTTTCCTCCTAAGTGGAATATTTTTACATATGGTCAAGGGTCGTAGTTGGGAGGATCTATTTCTTGTAGATACGAACTACTTCTCCCGCACACAAATCTCAAAAAGTTGGCAATCAAAAAATCATCAATGTAGGGAATCAAGAATGAATGCTTAGCCGTAGTCTTCGGAGACGACAGCAAGACAAGTGCAATTACTGTGAGTGCTAGAGTCAATATAACAATTGCTAGAATTGTTTAGGAACCATCACATCTCGATAATAACCACTGCTAACAGGAGCTGATATTGGCAACGATACAAAATCTGGTAATTTTTAACTTCAAGAGTTCTTTAATAAGCTAACATCCGAGGATTGTTAAACAAATAAAAACAAATACAAATCATTCCCTATAGCAAGTTAGTTCTGAGGAAGAATATGAATACAGGGGTTTCTTCTTCAACTAAAGTTACATGCACGAAATCCCGCTGCGAATCCTGTGTTACAAAAAGGAGTAGATGATTCTTTGGTATTCCTATAAAGTAGATCACCCCAAGTCAGTACTTCTAACAAAATGAAAACTCAAATTCGAAACTCCGATTAAATTAATAACTTTAAATAAGAAAATTAGTCAAAAGAAAAGATTACGCAATTGCATAATTATGTCGAACGATACCGTAATCATCTCATAAAATACGTCGATCATTGCAGACATTCCAAGTGAACAATGACGGCTATTTTTTTCAGTAGTTTTTGGAACATTCCTTTTTCCATATGACCAAACTCATCATTCAGTCATGCGAACTTCTTTGTACCAAATACTCATAACCGTAATCTCTAGGACCATTCGCATTTTCTTAAACGATAGCTGGTATTCAGGAAGCCCTGGAAGGTTGGGGTTTCATTTAGGATAGGTCGTTTTTTTNTTTTTTTCGGTTTGACTTCTGCTTTCTTAGGTCTTGAATTTTTTTACGATGCGCTCTTATCATCAAGAGTCAGAGATCACGCGCTTTCTCTCTTAGTTACTTTCCTTCAGTATGCAGTCGAGTTAACGAAGAAAAAAGGGAGTAAGGCTCACTTTTTTGTTCATTCTATGGGGTCATATCTATCTTTTCGTTCTGCTCTTGAAGTTGCTCGCTTCTGAAAAAATAGGTGTTTTCCATCTAATTCATCGGAACACAACTACCCTAGCTTTCCCAACTCCTTTTCTAAAAAAACATTAGCTTGTTCCATGTTATTGAGCAGGCTTTTGTTCCTTTTTTATGGCTTTCTGCTTCTGTTAGTTAGATAGGAAAGGCAAAATCATGGCTTCAACGAGGTTCCTTGAAGTTTTTGTTCATCCATTCTACTGTCGAGTAGTGCTTTTCTTGTCAAAGAGGCCTGAGGAGTAGGTGAGTAATGACCACGATTACAGGGAAGTAGCCGGAGTTGAGCTAATGTTAGACAAAGAAATGCCCTTTTTGTTATGTCTACCACTAAATGCCGGTGACAACAGGCACTGTTGTTTACCGCATCAGTCGTTATTTGTTCCTCTCGAAATCTTTCATGTCTTTCGCAACATTTTTCTGATTGTTCTTCAAGGTCGTTGACCATTTCATTCTACGTCTACGTCATTCAGGATGTCACGGACGTCAAGGCATTTGGCGACGGGTGAAGTGAACAAATTCGCAATAGATTTAACTGTTGGAGGTGTTTCAGCAGCTATTTCAAAGACCGCCGTTGCCCCTCTTGAGAGGGTGAAACTGTTGCTGCAGGTCGGATTTTCTTCATCGATGATTTTATGTACGAGTTCCAACTTCCCTAAAAACTTTGATTGATTATCTTTTTTACAGAGGAAAAACAAGAAACTTTACGTTGGCAATTTTAATTAGTATCCCTGGCTCTATCGGGTCA